GGAAGGCAAAATGCTAGTTAGGCCCACTTCAATTGCCACATCCTTGGTGGGCTCAAAAAATCACCTACATTTTAATATTCTCTACTGTGTGTTCCATGGGGACTGTTACTTACTAGGACTTGAGAGATATTTGCTACATTGATTGAAGAAATCTGTACATGGCGTTACACCTTGAAAGACCTGTGAAAATGAAGCCAGACCACCTGCACTTAGGTTTCTTCTTCCACCAGCTCTACCATTAAATGTAAACCTGTCCACGTGTTTCTCTGCTTAAAGACTCCTAGGAAGGCATTTGCTGTTCTGTACATTGAGCATAAATATAGTGAACATTTAATATTTTTAGTGCTGTTACCTCCTTTTTGTAGTAACTTGCAATCTTTCCCATCCTGATTATGAAATTTGTGATAAAACTTTGTCATTGACCAAGCATCTCTTCATAGTATGTATCCTGTTAATCCAAAGACTATATTAGGTGTCTCTGAACAAAACTGTAAATTGACTGGACGTGTTTTGAGGTGTTTGAGACATGTGTCTTACTCTCAGTTTTGAATATGAAATCTCAGAGGCATTAATCTCAAAGCTTAGTGATCCGTTCAGTAGGAAGCTTCGTTATCTTGACCCTTTGTTTGTCTCCCTCTACTCCTTGCTCCAGTCTTCATGACCTTTAATTTAGAGGCTATAATGCAAGATGGCTGAGAATTACTAAATACACAAAGTGTGAGCAGAAGAGGAGCTCTTTGCCTTGGTGATTCGGAATGGAAAATAATGAGGAAATTCCAGGTGATGTTCATAGAAAGGTTGCTTGTTGCCTGTATCATTGAAGTTCAGAAACTGAAAGGAAAGACATTTATACCATGAGGTTTTTCATAATTTGGTTATTTTTTTCTCTTTCTTTTGCCAGGTTTCGCCAAAACTCATGCCAATGCAGCAGATCACAACCTGAAATGTGGAATAGACATTTGTCCCAGGCTGTATGTTTTTCATTTCAACCACATGGGATTTCATTGAAAGGACGTCAGTAGTCAGAATTGTATATTTAACAAGCAGTTTTCTACTAGTTTTTCCTAACATTTTATGCTTTATGCAATCATATAGACTTTGTTCTCTCAAAGCATGCTGTGCCATTTTAATGAAAAACAGAAAGAAAAAATATATTTGATTATCTTATTTGTTTTATAAGCGTTGAGAAGGCTGTTTTTACAATTGGTGTTCACATTGGACTTCTTTCCATCTTCTGTGGTACGTACACGAACTTGTGTGCAGTTTGTATCAAGATGGACCTAGAGGAAGACTTCTATTGATGTGCTTTCGCTCCTGACTAAATCTTGATGTAGAAAAAAGAAAAGAATGAAGGAGAAAAATAACTCCCCCTCACACACACATGCTCCTCAGAGTACACCCACGGCAGCCTTGTACTATTCCTGAAAGATAAAAACGTGAATTTTGATTAGGAGAAATGCGATCTTAATGATTCTTTTTTCTTCGGCCTCCTCTGACTTTTCTTTTGGAGCCTCTGATTTTGTGATTACGTCTCTCCCCATCCCACACTTTTTATGACTAAATAGATGCCCAGGAAGGAAAACAGGAACATCTCTGTGTTGAAGTAACTGGTTTGTGGGAAAGACTAAAGGGCACAGGGTCTGCTGGTGCTGGCACCCTACCAATTGCCCTCATAAACCATCCAACCAGCCGAAGACTGAGGTTTGTTATAGGAAGAGGGCTGTAAGCTTAACTGATCTAACCAGTTTCTCATTTGGAAACAGTGTATTGGAAACATATTTGGAAATATGTATCCAGAAGGTCCTTAAGAGCTTTCCTGTAGGTCTTTGAGGACCAGTGAGCTATTTGAAACATACCTCCTCTTAAACCAAGAAGGACTGTGGAATTATTTATTGTGAATCCATAGTCATAATGACAGCAGGGAATTTTTTTTTAAAGCCTTTCTTTTCATGCTCTCTATTCAGAAAAGTTTCTAAATATTGAATGCCTTTTTCTACAGAAGTGTTCTTTCTTCTGTCCAGGCTACTTCTTTGAACAAAATATTTTTAGTGTGGCCTTATCCAAACGGGAATAATGATGAGCAAATCCAGGAGTGAGGAGTGGGGAGTGAATTTTCACAGTTAGAAAATAAATATGGTGGATTAGGTTTTGTAAGAAACTTCTCCTCAGAGATATCCTCAGTACCAAACAGTTGCCCAGGGGGTGACCAATCATCCTGGGTCTCAAACGGGGCAAAAAGCCTGGGCACCCTGAGGACAGGCCAGACAGCTGTCCTCTGGACAGAGGTGGGCATAGTACAAAGCAACGTGTCATTCCCCTGGCACCAGGCATAGGGACTTACACGTGTTTCTAGGCGATGGTTGTCATTGAAACGCACTTTCTCTTCAAATACAGCTACAGTTGTGTCATGCATGGTATTAGAGGGACGAACGAGGGTTTTTTTTGTGAGAAGCACACTCCATATATAAAATAGTCTTTCTGGCTGTTTACGTGGTTGAAAAGCATGCTCTCCCAGTACTGGTAAAATGGATTCTTAAAATCTGTGACATCGAGGACTAATATATATCTATGTTAGAGTTATGATGTGGAAACGTATGTTATTGATGATTGCTATATTGGCAAACTTATCATTCCAATCTGTTACTTTAAGATAATGGGATTCTAAGCATGTTCCCAACTTCGAATGGCAGAGTCTAAGTAGATGACTTTATATTCTTGCTTAAGGAGTGCCATGGACATTAAATGCACTAAGAAATACAATAAATGCTCCAAATTGATATAGATTGGTGTGACTGTCCTTTTTCTCATTTGGGAATCATGTGACTGCATATGGCAATAATACAACTGACACTGGTAGAATGGCCAACAATAAAATTCAGCACACGTTTCTGCTTCTAAACAAGTTGTTGCCATTCTTTTTAGCTTTCCAAAGAAAAGAACAAATGAAAGGTTTACCCAAATGAATACTTCTCTTTGTTTCTTGTCAGAGCTAATCATTTGTCTATAAAAATTGATTATGTATCCCAGGCTTCATGTGTTGATTTTTGTTTGCTTTTATCTAACATTCCTTTAGGACACACATGCTGTTAATTAGTGTCCTAGTGGTGTATTGAGTTTGCTTACATTTCCAACTTTCTCTAGTGCTAGTTTGCAGCATCTATGTGACCCCTCTGGCAAGAGACTCACCCCCTGGCCAAGGACTGCTTGTGTGCCCAGGCTATGCCACTTTTGATAGCTCGCCTCTGTTCCAATGGTTATATGCAGGAGTGGGCATATTACCCAGGATGTACCAGTCAGGTAGTTTTTCCTATGTTTTAAAACTGAAAATGAGAAAGAATCCACTTTTCTTTTTCCTTTTTGGTCACTAAGCCATAAGAATATGAGTCTGACACCAACATATACCCTACCAGTTGAACTCCAGTTGTAGAGAAAGAAACTGAAACACAAAGATATTAAGCTGTAGGGAGAGAACATGCTGATGGGATTTGGGTTCCCGGTTCTGGATGTGCCTAAGGCCAACTTCCCTCAGTGTACATAAGCCCACAAATTTTCCTTTTTGCTTGAGGTGGATCTTTGCCGCTTGGAACCAAAATGTAAACTGAAACAGCTTTTGTAATTTTGTTTTTTTTAAGATTTTTATTGGGGAATTGGGGAAGGGGAACAGCCAAGTTGTTGTCCTTCAGTCTTAGTTGTGGAGGGAGCAGCTAGCTCAGCTCCAAGTCCAGTCACCATCTGGCTGCTCTTCTGCAGCTCATGGCTGCTCAGCTCAAGGTGCCGTGTTCAGTCTTAGTTGCCGGTGGTCGTAGCCCACCATCCCATGCGGGAGTTGAACTGGCAACCTTGTTAGGAGCATATGCTCTCACCAGCTGAGCCATCCTGCCACCTGTTGGCAGCTCAGCTTGGACACAGCTCACTGGCCCATGTGGGAATTGAACTGGCGAACAGGTGACCCTGTAGCTCAGAGTTCGTGCTCTTAACCAACTGAGACCCCGCTTTTGTAATTCTTAAGTCCTAGGAAGGTTCAGGTCTCATAGAAGTTAGACAGAATATAAACAAAACTCCTTATAACTGGGCCCAGAGAACACATGTAAGAGCATTTATGTGTTACCAGTGGGTAGGAAGGTTTGGGTAGAGGTTTTCATTCTCTTACAATTTCAGTATAGTCTGCACAACTTTGAAAATTATTCCAATGGATATATAAGCAGAGATTTATTTAATGGGTGGGTTTTCTTTGTGCTAATCATCTCCCTTTTCTCACATGGTGTAGTCTTGAGTTTCTTAAGCTTATTTTCAAATTCTCCATCTTTAAAATGGGAAGAATATACTGTTTTCCACCATGATTCTCTAAGATATAATTAATACATCTGTTTGCAAAAATACTGACAGGTCTTTAAAAATGCTGTGCCATAATATTACCTTGGGCTAGAATCGTCAGTTGTTCCTGTCCTTTTATTTTTCAATGTCTACACTGCCTTCCCACCTAAGACCATACTAAATATTAAAATGGGTTTAAGAATGAATATCAGTAAATGTGATGTGATCTGAATGTACTTCTATGTGACATATACCTGAAGTCTCCTGCTTCCATAATGTTAGATGAGTCTAAGTAAAATCACCCAAAGATACCTGTGTGGACCACAGAGCAAGGCCCATGAGAGTGATGCTTCCACTGATCCAGGTAACTGACAAGACAATTCCTTCCCTCAAAGCCACCATTAAACACAAATAAAATTTGGTTGTGGAGGTTAAATATGCTTGATCCTCATGGTCATTATTGCCTTTAATGGGGTGCCACTCTGGATAGTTCACTTGGAGACGACCTCAGGCAACTACCTTGGCTCTTTTGTAGCATGACCCACGTTGGGTCCATAGGAAACAAACACTTCTATTTCCACTGCAAAAGGGGAGCCCAGGTGCCCAGTGTAGCCTCTTTATGTATTTGGCTCCTTCCTAGGCATTCCATTGCTCACCCTTCAAAAATTTCGAGAGGAAATCCGACACCAGCCCAGAATCTCCTATGAATCCTGATATTCCATTTGAAGGCCCTCTCTCTTGATTTGGGGATAGGAGGTAGCATCTCCCACTTTACCTTTTAGGAGTTAGAGTGCCCAGTGGCTCTTTTTAAAATCTTCTTCATAAATACTCCTTTAATCTCCAGCTCCCAACCCTTGTATGCACTCAATGTGAATAAGATTTTAAGAGGTGTCTTACTAGTTCTCAGCCAGATATTTCAAAATGTGTGCATAGTGGCCCCACTTTGGAATGTGGAATACTGTGTGTGTGTGTGTGTGTGTGTGTGTGTGTGTGTGTGTGTGTGTGTGTGAGAGTATATCTTATGTATTAGTATAACAATTCCATGACTCGCCCATGGTAAGTTTCTAACTGTGTTTATTGAATCAATTTGCTGGTTGAAAATACAAAGTGGTAGTAGGCCAGGCCTGAGGATTTCCCCCAGCTAAATAGCTAGGTAAGACCTCTAGAGAAGGGGGAAGAAAAGAAAGGGAAAGAAATAAGAGGTGGAATTAGGAGGCGATGACAAAGGCATAAAGAGACATGTCATAATCACCTACATTTGTTCAGCATTTTATAATTGACAAAACCTCTAAAATATGCCAGCTAGCTTATTTCATCCTCACAATAATCTACCAGGGAGACATTATCTCCATTAAAATTAACTTCATTAGTCTGAGAGGAGTAATGTCCATCAATTCTTTAATTAAATTAGCCTTTCAGGGCTAATGTTGAATTTTGCCAAGGTAGTTAATGAGATGTGAATTAAATCCCTTGAATAGAACTAAATCTGTTACTCTCTAGTAAGCTATAAAGCAGAGAGTCCAAAACCTTTAAACCTAATGGGACAAGTCTTAAAGTTTTGTTCTCCTTGTCCACATAGCTCTTTTGTACAACCCAGTCCATAAGGAAATGGGTAGTTGTCAAAATAAAAAGGATAATGGCACCCACCAAGCAAATGTCTCTGAAGATTTGCAGTTACTGGGTTTGCTCAGGTGAAAGGCTTGGTGTAAGCAACCATAAATAAGTAAGAATGCTCAGCTAACACCAGCAGGAGGGGCTGATGGACACCCATGTGTATGAACACCTTTCTGACATTTGGTTTCCTTGGCATTAACCTTTACCTATGTTCAACATGAGAGTTGTGGCTCAGACTCATTCAGTTGAACCCCAGAGATAAGGTTGGTGACATGGAGGGAGTATGACTTAGTGAGATCTAGTGCTATCCCTTTTAGCAGGGAAGACAGGGTCCATGAAAAAAAGAAAACTGGTCACAGCATTGGAGCCTGAGGAGCTATTGGGGGTGGGTGTCGGGTGGGAAGGCTTTAAGGCCATCAAGACACATACCANGAGTCCATGTAGAAGCGAGGTTTTGGAGAAACACTTCCATGTCTTCTAGCAGCTCCTCTTTCTACCTCATAACATTGGACACCTCCAAAGAGCACACTCCAAATACTACCGTTTGGTGCCCAACCAGCCATTTAATCAAACATGGGAACAAAAATAAAAGCCCCCCAAACTGGTGTTCATATTGACAGGGACATGAAAAGAAATTCTGGTGGCTGTACTACCTAACCCCTAAGGCAGAAAGGCCCAGAGATGCAGAGCTATGGGGAAGCCCCTTATCTTCCTAATGTAACACAGACCCCACTTGGGGTCCAAGCCTAACCACATGGTTTAATTCCTCTGCATCTGATGGTGACCTAAAGTCTCTGTAGGCTTAGCAGGGCAGGCAGTTGGGAAGAAAAGCTGAATGTGGGGCTGAGGTAAGTGAGGACAAAATGGAACTATGCAGATAAATTCTAATTTTTCTTTGTGGCTCCACCTCCCACCTTGAGCACAGGTAACGCCTGCAGAAGGACCTGGCACCTTTCGCCATGGATTAACATGTGTGCCTGCTTCAGGATTTGGAGAAGCTGAAGGCAGACATCTGGCAGAAACTGCAGGAGCTACAGCCTTGGCTATTGATCTATACCAACAATTGAGCCAATAGATCAGTAACAATGTATATCCATAACTTCATTTACCTATAACCTACTTCCACTTTAAGACTCAGACAGAGTTCCATCTCTTTCAAGCAGCCTGCTCAATTGAATCCAGATTGCTCTATCAGTTTCTTCAATGAATTCCTACTGTATTTTCAACTGGTCTCACACAGACTGGAAAATAATTGTTCCCTAGGCCTTGTTTTTGTTTTAAAGACCCTATAATGCCCCTCCATGCCCCCACACAAAGAAGAGTCCATAATTGGGTGATTAATCTTAATTGGTTAATAGATGATAGCAGAATTATTCATTTCTCAGATTTGACCATTCTCTAAATATAGACTAAACTTTAACCAGGGCCAACGTTAAAGCAGTGGAATTTTCCAGTGAAATTTCTTTTTTTAACCGGTGTATTTTTCAAGGAGTGACAGTTCAATTTTTAGATAAGAAGGATTCTAGAGACATTAGCAAAAAGCCATGCAAACTGTCAAATTCCACAAATTTGTTGACATCCCTAAGCTTGGCAGAGTGGGCCCTGATTAAACTTATTACCACTATTGTTTTGCAGCATCAAAAGGGGAAGCGTGGAGATGGGAGCAGCGTGGTCAGCACGATTTAATGGAGCATGAGTTCAAATAGAGGTTGGGGATACAGGCTCTTTTTCCAGAGTTTCCACTTTACTCTGTGGCCATGAGTAAGTGCTCAGATCTTGTGGACCTGTTTTCCTCTTCAATGAGAATATGGACATCCACTATTCTCTGACAGCAGCCTTTCTGTAGACAATAG